GTTCTGTTGGGAGCTATTTGATAATAAAGTCTTTAAAAAGAGAGTAAAATAGGGGCTGGGAAGATAGCTTAGTGGTTAGGAGCACTGACTGCTCTTCCAGAGGACCCAGGTTCAATTCCCACATGGCAGTTCACAGCTGTCTGTAACTCTAGTTCCAGGGGACCCAATACCCTCACCCAGACATACATGCAGGCAAAACACCAGTGTATTGTAGTGGGTAGCCATTCCAGCTTGGATCTGGAAATTCCAACCCCCATTGAGACTCTGGCAACTGTCACGCCTACGAGGCAGGGCCAGGGGAGGCGCCTGGAGACCCAGAGCTGGATGGGGGAGAGCTCTCTCTGTGCCGGGCCCCTGAACGGTGGAGGTGGAACGAGCAAAGCTCCAGAGAACATCGCTAGACTGCGATACACCTTCCCCAGACCCTGCGATCTACCTATCCCTTAATTTGTGAGTTACGCCATTAAATAAATATCCTTTTAACTACATGAAGTGGCCATAATAATTTCACCAATAGTGTATTTTTTTAAAAAAGAGAGAAAGTAAAGTAATACCAAAAAAAAAAAGCCACATAAGGATGGAAAATAGAACACGGGGAGTTTGAACCTTATTTGGTGCTTTGTTAATTTTGAATTTTTTGAATGCTAATGAACAGAAAATGACAGCTGCTGAGAAACACTGGATTGTGCAAGAACCTGCTGAATTAAACCAGCCCAGATACTTTAGGAATGCCTTAACTTTAAAATGGAAGTCAGGAAATGTATTGCTTTGGGAAAGAAGTTATGCTTTTGTTTCCACAGAAAACAAAAGGCTGTGGATTTGTTCTAGGTTAAAGAGGAACAGATTTGATAGGGGGAGACCCCCTGAAAATACAAACTACAGACATAAAGAAATAAATCTAGAAAAACTAATAGACAGGTAACATATTTTACCTGCTCAAACATAAACAAAAATCATCTTTGGCTGGCTTGTATACAACACACAGTCCATACTTGTGTTAATGATGATATGTATGTTACCTTTGAAAGTTTGTGTTAATGATGATATGTATGTTACCTTTGAAAATTTGTGTTAATGATGATATGTATGTTACCTTTGAAAGTTGTGTGTGTGTGTGTGTGTGTGTGTGTGTGTGTGTGTGTGTGTGTGTGTGTGTGTTTCAGAACAAGGGGACCAGACACCAATGAAAGGGGTAGCCCAGGTAATCTAGTCTCTCAGAATGCCTCTGCTGTAGTTTCCTCAGAGTTCTGCATACAGAACAGCTTCAAGGCTGCTGGCTGAGAGAGTCTAGCCTCATAGATTATTCTAGCCAAGACTGCAGATAAGCCCTGCACTTTCCCATTGCACAGAGACTGGACAACAAATGCTATGGCTAGTCTTCCCAGGACTTGACCATTATCTCAATTTTCTCAGGTTCCCTAAAGATGCTGTCACCCACAGACAATAGGAAGCAGTCTAGAGAATACAATGCCCACATTCCCAAGAGGTGGGGTGGGTAGCTTTTGGTCATTTGGTGGGTTGTGGATGTTTGTCATCATTTAGGGGGGTTGGTTACAAGTTGTTATTGGTTATGGTCAGGAAAAAAGCTGAACAAAGATTAGATTCAGGGATCTCTTTCTGAAGGGCAAAAAGGGGGATATAGTATAGAAATGATGGGATAAAAGGGTGGATTGTTGGGGGCTGGTGAGATGGCTCAGCAGTTAAGAGCACTGACTGCTCTTCCAGAGGTCCTGAGTCAATTCCCAGCAACCACATAGTGGTCCATAACCATCTATAATGGGATCTGATGCCCTCTTCTGGAATAAAGGGGTACATGCAGATAGAGTACATATATATATATATATATATATATATATATATATATATATATATAAACCCTTTTTTAAAAAAGGGTGGATTGTTGAGTCTACTTTTAAACAACCACTAGTCTCAAATATTTTACATTGATATGGATTTTTGTATATTTATGTTTCTATTTTTGTTTAACATATTGTACCTATGCAAATCATTTTAAAATGTAATATAAAGTTTTAGTACTTTAAAGCTGTTTAGGAGCTGGGTGGTGGTGACACACACCTTTAATCCCAACACTCAGGAAGCAGAAGCAGGCAGATCTCTGTGAGTTCAAGGCCAGCCTGGTCTATAGAACTAGTTACAGGGCCCCTAAGGCTGTTATACAGAGAAATCCTGTCTCAAAAACAAAACAAAACAAAAAGCTATTTAGGACAAAAAGAAATACAGGTTAATAGTCATCTACAACAATCAAACTTATAGACATGTTAAGTATATTTTCAAGGTCAAACAGATATAAAATATCTATATTTTAGATAGATAGGTGATCTCCAAATACTTCAAAGACCTATAGAATATGACATTTAAAATGTTTTAGTTGAAAGGCCCAGAGAAAATCTGAACATTAGCCCACCTATCCAGCTTCTTCTATCACTTGACCCTTGCCCTATATTCTCAGTCACAGGAAGAACAGTTGGTTAAAAATTAAGACAAGACCCAAGCTATGTTGTATTAAGAGAACCACAGTCTTGCTTCTACAAACAACAAACCCCCTGTTTGTAGAAAGTTGTTTAGATGTTAAGCTTGTACAAACACCTTGTTATCACAAATTATACTACTAATTGTAAAATGTTATCACAAGTTGTAAATTTCCAGAATATACAGTCAAATTGTAAACATTCTTTTTCTTATGTCAACCCTGGCCCCCTGACTTGTGGCTTTTGCTTTAAAAAGGACCCTGTGTTTGGGGTCACAGTCAGAGCCTGACCTGCCTCTGACGCTAACTAGTTAGAAGTTCTGATACCTCATGGTGATGAAATAATTTGCTTCTGATTATCTGACTCCGGTGGTCTGATCCCCATTATTTGTGATACCCCAAGATGCAACATAATAACATAAGGCTTTTTATAACAATGAGACACATCTGCTCCTGGCAGCACCAATCTACTTCAGAGAAGAGGATCGGCATCAAAGAACCTTCATATGGAGTTTGCTTTCTTTGGGGCAAAAGTTAGCCACTGGGCAAGAAACTGCCCTTGCCACGACTGCTGACAGATGCTGTCCAAATTGGACAAGCAGGACACAAAAGAAGACAACTGCCAAACATTGCCAAGACTAGATAGGACAGTCCTTCAAAATTCCTGCTTCACAGAAAAGTCTGTCAGATATTTTAGGCCCACAGGCCGAAGATGAATGCCCCAATGTTACAGAAGAACCTTGGGTGACTATCCAGGCAGCCAGATGTCTCTGTCCTCTCTTAGTTTTGGACATTGCTTGCTCTGCACTTCTTTTTTACTCAGGTAATATTATATCCTTCTGGAATCTTTGATAGAATTGAAGACTAGATAGTTATAGTTTTCCTTAGTTGTGATAGAAGGTAACTTAGGCACAAAACTTTGGACTCACCAAGATAGGATTAATAATGGACTGTTTCCCTGAATTTGCCAAATGAAAATAGACTGAACATTGTAAATGCAATTCTTACTTAATAATTGTCTGCGTATGTGGGAATTACATTTCTTTAAGGTGAAGAGTATTTCATTTTATATATGTACATTAATTTTTCAATATCCATTCATCTGTTGATGCACAATTAGTTTGATTCCGATTCTTTTGTTTGTTTGTGACAGGATTTCCCCATGTAATGGTCCTGGTTGTCCTGGAACTCACTTTGTAGACAAGGCTGGCCTCCATCTCACTGAGATCTGCCTGCCTCTGCCTCCCATGTGCTGGGATTAAAGACGTGTGCCGCCACCACCCAGCCCAATTCTTTAATATAGTCAATAAAGCAACAATAAACATGGAAGTGCCAATATCTCTATGGTAGGGTATGGAGTTTTCTGCCCAGAGAGGAAATAGCTAAGTCATACAGTAGTTCTAATTTCAGTTTTTTAAGAAATCTCCAAACTGATTTCCACAATGTCTGCATTAACTTGCCTCTCACCAACACTGAATAAGAGTCCCTTTCTCTCCACATCCCCTCCAATATTTGTTGTCAGATAGCGATTCTGACTGGGGTGAAGTGGTATCTCAAAGCAGATTTAATTTGCATTTCAATGATTACTAAGAATATTAAACACTTTCTAAGTAGTTATTAAACATTTGTGTTTCTTTAAAAAAAAACTGTCTATTCAGTTCATTTGCCCATTTGTTGATTGATAGTTTTGTTTCTTTAGTTTTTAATTTCTGCCCTTTGTTTGTTTGTTTTTGTTTTTTGATAGGGTTTTATGTAGCCCTGGCTGTCCTAGAACTCTCTCTGTAGACCAGACTGGCCTTGAACTCAGAGACCAGCCTGACTCTGATGGGATTAAAGACATGAGCCACCACAGCCCAGCTGTAATTGTTTATAAATTCTGGATATCAACCACTTGATTTTCTTCCATTCTGTGGGCTGTTTGCTTTGTATATAACAAACAGTATCAAACAAGAACTGTGAATATATGTTGTTCCCATTGGTTAATAAATAAACTGCTTTGGCCTATGGCAAGGCAGCTTAGAGGCAGGCAGGAAATCCAAGGAGAGAGACAGGAAAGAGAACGGTGGAGTCTGGAGAGACGCCAGCTGCTACCAAAGGAGAAGTAACATGCCGGCAGACTGGTAAAGCCACGAGATACATGGCAAAACATACAGATTAATAGAAATTGGTTATTTTAAGATATAAGAGCTAGCTAGCGAGAGGCCTTCCATAGGCCATACAGTTTGTAAATAATATTAAGCCTCTGAATGATTATTTTATAAGCGGCTGCAGGACCTCGAGGCCGGCAGACAGGAGAAAAACTTTCAGCTACACTCAAGGGGTCCATGGGAGAGGACCTGGGACAGGACACAACACACACACATGGCCCTAATCCCTGTACCTTAATACTTGTGTAGTAGTGCACTATACTGCGGACTGGGAGGGTGGGGCTCCAGGTTGCTAAGCAACATAATCAACAAGCCCAGAGATTCAAAACTGAAGCGTGTTTTCCCACAGAAAAGGCAGAAAGTATGAGGGTGTGAGGACTTTGGGTGGGGAGGCCTGGATGCTGAGCTGGTAGGTGGGCAATGGGTTAGACAAATTAGAGGAGAGCACTCAACCACGTCTCTTCCTTTCACCTACAGAAAGTCAGGAGCTGCGGCTAGGTTGGCAATGGTTGCTAGGGTTGGCTTCCTTTCTCACTCTGAGCCATTATTCCTTTGTCCGGCTTCCCTGGGTTCTGTTCCCCACATCTCTACCCTGGAGATAGGTCAGAACAGAGGCTGAGCTTCCTAGTGTACATATGTGCATCCTTACACAGATACAAACACACATACACCTGCAATACTACACATTCACATACACACGCAGATACGTGAAGACACACTAACAGGGTGGGGTCCTCTGCCCTTTATAAAGGAGTCATGCCCTTAACCTTACCCCAACCAAAGACTAGGGATCGAGGCACAGGACCAGACCAATCTATGGAGCTCCAGAGTCAGGGGACGCCGAATGACCCATGACCATAGTGATGTGGGCTGTGGAGCACCAGCGGCATGCAGGACAGTCCATCTGGTGTTATACCCCTAAATTGGGTATACTCCTAAAACTGGAGAGAATTAGAAAGTCATACCCTGCTGCAGATATGCACAGGGTCAGCTACCAGTTGGGATCTGAGTTAAGTGGCTACAAGAAGTTTCACAGAAACACAGCTAGAGCCATAGTGTTCCCCTAAGTAGCTGGATGTCCCCTTTCTTCCACAGACTGGAGCATGCCATCCCCGGGAGTAAAGGGTGCACGGGAGCGGGCCAAAAAGAGTGAACCAGGAGCTGGAGCTGGCAAGAAAGGCATGAAGGGCCCGTGGACTACAGAGCCTCCGAAGCCAGGCTGGGCTTTGACTCAGGAGAGGCTGGTGGCCATGCTCCCCAAACAACGCCACCGCTACCTGCTCTTTGGAGACCTGCTCGACGACGCAGGCGCGGCTGCCTCCATCTTTCCACGCGAGTCAGTGGAGATACCCTACTGCATGCCCGACCCACGCATGTGGACGCAGGCATTTGAACCACCAGCTGAGCGTCAGAATAGGCTTCTGGGCGTTCTCAAGGCCGCAGAAGCCCGCGGCCGAGTGCGGGCGCTGAGGTTGCGCTACACCCGAATGAGGGTATGCAAAGGGCCTACTGGAAGCGCCCCCCCGCCCCCGAAAGAGGGCCCACCCTGCTGGAGGGAGGAGGCAGATAGAGAGTTGCCTCTGGACAGCTCACCAGGGTTGCTCAGTAAGCTCGCTTCCCAGGCAGAGGAAATCGCTCTCCTGATCCAGAAGCAGGGCTCCGCACGCGCCGCCATCCGGCTAGAACTGTTCCTACCACCCCAACTGAAGCCCACGAAGATCCCCGATCCTCTGGGCCGTCAAGAGGTGCGGGCAAAACCGAAGACGGGTGGGAGTGGATAGGAGGGCCCCGTGCCTCATCACACACTGACCCTAACCCCTTTCAACAGCGGAGGCGTGTTGAGACAATCCTGGAAGAGGCTGTAGATGGCAGCATCTTCCCACGATGACTGCGACCTTGGCCTACAGAGACCCTGGATTAGAGCGGCTCCCCACCCTCTCACATAAAGTTCTCTTCAGAGGGTGTTCGGGTCTTTTCCCTGTTTTGCTCCTGGGTTCCCAATGGGAAGGGCAAGCATGGATGCTGCCTCTCCCACAGCCACAGTCACAGACTTCAGGGTACAAGAGATGCGCTCTCCAAAGTAAGATGTCGGTGTGTGAATGTTAAAGTAACAGCACGGGACACTCCTATGTCCCAACCATCTGTCCCCATCAGGCAATGGGTGCTGTTCAGGGCCATCGAGGTGAGTGGGGGCGGGGGGGGGCGCGGTACTAATGAGGAAAAGGATAGGGATGAGCCTGCCTGGACACTCCCAGAAATCAGGGATGTCTCCAAAGTTAGGGTCATTCCATCTGAGGACTGGGGTGGCATCCTAGGAGGGGGAATGATTGCAAAGCCAAAGCTGGCCTTTGGAGAGTCCAGTCATGCCCAGAGGATCAACAAGGTTGTGAATGGGGTCCTCCTCTCCAAGGTCCCTGGATGGTGGGACAAGACTCACCCAGAGCCTCCCTTTCATCAGAAACAGCCTCCTGTGCCCACTCATCCACCAAACACGGAGCACAAGAAGGAAGCCACCCATCCTGTTCTGACCACTAGATTCTGAAAAGCCCCTTGTTTCTGGGCAGCTTATCTTCCTCTTCTCCACAGCATGGGCTCTTTGTAGAACCTGTGGTCTTTTGGCCCCTTGGTCCCTTGGCCTTGTCCTCCTTCCCAGCCCCTACCCAGCAGGTTGCACAGAGATGGAAGCTGTAGGGAGGTAGACAGCTCCCTGGCCCTGCATGAGAGCTCCCACTGGTTCTGCATGGAACAGAGAACAGAAAGGAGGGAGAAGAGATCAAAACTGTGGTCCAGAAGGATCTTACTGACTGATGGCCAGCTCCCAGGGCTCTGTTTCCTCAGCTGGTCTTCTCCCCCTGTACATGACCCTTCTCACTTTCTGGCCTATTGGTGCCCTGGGCCTTAATCCAAACCCAAATGGCAGCAATCACAAATCATCAGCAGTTCTCAGGAGGAAGGGAGGGGGGGTTCAGGCAATGAGAAGGATGGCAGAGCAGGGAAATGGTAAGTTTGTATGGGATGACTCATCCCTAACAGGCTTGAGGACCAGCCAGCCCAAACCAGTAAAAAAAAGATACTTTCTGAGAGCCAACCTGGGTCTGCCTAAAGGCCTTAGCAACAGCAGCTGAGACATGATCTGGAGATGACCTGTACCAATGATAGGCAGCCATGTCACACCAGCAGATGCATATTCATCAGACCTTCCCTCAGGGTGGGGTGGAGGATATATAATACTTGCCTCTTCGTGAATAAACTGAGCAGCTTGTTTCAACATTCTCCCAGAGTCTGTGTCATTGACTCTGTGCCTACTTGGCCCCCTCCCCAAAAGGGAACAGCAGCACAGGACCCTGCCACATCTGGTGCCAAAACCCGGGCCATCTGATGCTTGGCAACAGGGACTGTTTGTCTCCCTTTACTCATGTGCGGCACTGGTTGAGTACCACCTCGAGTGGTGTATTTCGGTGAGTAGGCCCCTGTACATTGCGTGCTTTCGGTCCCTTCAGCAGGTAAATGCTGGGATCCCCACTTTCTTCTTGTGTTTGTCTTGTTTGTGAGTCTGTCTGCACGGTAGGGTGGTACATGCTTTTGTTCAGGCTTGCCTGGTGTTTCCATATAAGGGTTGGACCCTCAGGAAACAGAGCCACAGTCACTGCTGTTTATCACACCTTCTAATACTATGGGAAATTTCCTCCCTCACCGTAAAGAGGCCCCTACTGGAGCCCTCAAGTCCCTCCTAACCAGCCAGGGTCTCTGGGCTACAACATCAGAACTAGTAAGGTTTTGGATGGAGGCTGTGGAGCTTGCTCCATGGATCTCTTCAGAGAACATGTGGAAACCTGATCTTTGGATGAGAGTTCTGTTTCTGGCCAGAAAAAAAGGAAGTGGCCTCAGGAGTAACCCTCCAATTGGTTTTTATGCCCATTTTGTTGGCTATGATCGATGGCCTAAAGTCCTCCTCTACTGAAGAGGTCATTAAGGCCCACAATAATCACTGGCAAGAACAATGTAGCACCAACTTATCTATCACCTCCATTCCATCCATGACTGATATTTCCTCTGCCTCTGCTGACAAGGAGATGGATGGAAATAGGCATAAAGTGAAGGAAAGGGATGGAGAGAGAGAGGAAATAATTGTGGCAGCACCCAAGCCTGTACTGGCAGCCCCTCTCTCTGCTTCCCTCATGTCTCGAGCGGCTACCCCCTCACTGCAGTATCCATGGAGTGATTTGCCTGGATGTCTGCCTGCTGAGACAGCTGCTCTGCATACCTCCTAGCCTATTCCACCTATGGTGCCACACAAGCCCACCATGGCATTTTCAGTTAATGTGGACCCCAATGCTTCCAACCAGCCATGGATACCTACCCCTCTTGCAGACCTGTCTTTGGTCCCTAAGGCTGCTAATGAGTCAGGTCCTGACTTGCCGTATTTTGAGCAAGTCCTACGGCAATGAGCAGTGCAGTTACAGACTTACTATGACTGGTACCATTTGATGAAGGCTTAGTTGGAGCCTTTGGTCTTCCTTAACTGGTGAGCTGCCTATGATGATCAGGCCAAGGCTCAGGCTCATTCTAATATACAATATAACATCGATGTTTCTTGAGATGCTCATGGACCAAGAACCATAGGTTAACCCTGTCACACAAGCCCAAATTAGACAACACACCTATTTACTTGCCTCAGGAGACACCATTGCCCTTGGTGCGATGGAGGGATCCCATCGCTCTTCAATGGCACTACCTGCTCACCTATTAACCTGGGGGTGAAGGTATGCTTGCATTTTTTCCCCCAGAATACCACCATGCCAATATGGATACCCTCAAGAGATGTGCATCCAGCAACAGACCAAGAGACATTGGTCAAAGAAGAATTTTCAGAGGGGTAATGTATGATTTGCCCTGCTACTGTGGCATTAGTAAAGGTCATGTCATCACTGGCACACGACCCTAGATATCAAGCAATTGCCTCACCCCCTACAAGGTCGCTAATGCATCACCAGAAAGACTTCCATTAGCACAATAATATGACTAGGGTCCCAACCATGTCCTTAAGACTGAATTTTTGACTAATTCTTCTCTTGTTCAAATATCTTCTGCAATAGGTTCACCAACAGAAGGCAGCCACAAAGGCGACCCTACAGGTTTTATTGGCTCTCAGACACCTAGAACAAAGTCCTCCAAGAGATAATGCATACATGGCTCACTGAGATACAGAAGGCTACTGTCTAAAGCCCACCACCCAGACAGCTCTCCAGGATTGATGCTCTTCGAGGGCTGCTAGTCAATGACAGGTACAAGCTTGTTTGGTAAGCCAACCAAAGGCAGGCACAGTCTATTAAGCTGAGCTCTCCTGAGGTGGGGTCAACAAGGTTAGGGCAATGCACCTTAGCTCCCACAGAGCATGTCCTATAAAATAATAAGAAGGGATGGATATGTGGGATGACTCATCCCTAACAGGCTTGAGGACCAGCCAGCCCAAACCAGTAAAAAAAGATACTTTCTGAGAGCCAACCTGAATCTGCCTAAGGGCCTTAGCAACAGCAGCTGAGACATGATCTGGAGATGATCTGTACCAATGATAGGCAGCCATGTCACACCAGCAGATGCATATTCATCAGACCTTCCCTCAGGGTGGGGTGGAGGATATATAATACTTGCCTCTTCGTGAATAAACTGAGCAGCTTGTTTCAACATTCTCCCAGAGTCTGTGTCATTGACTCTGCGCCTACTTGGCCCCCTTCCCCAAAGGGAACAACAGTACAGGACCCTGCTACAAGTTTGGACATGGGTATGGATAGGGAAAAGGAGAAAGTCTCTTCATCCAGGAATGATGGTCATATATACCCAGGTGTAGTCCTCCAATGACAGTCAATTATACCAGATGATAGTCAATGCTGGGTTCCTCTGGACAAGTTCCTTGTTGTCTAGACCCCAGGATTTGTTTCTTGGAGATTTGTTAAGTGCCTAGAAAAACTTCATCTATTTAGTAAAGTCATACCATTATTTCATCATTTTTCTGACCCTGCATTTCTTTATGGTGGTTACAGAGATACCTAAGATCACTGCAGTGTCCCACACAGTGAGTAATTCATATAAGCACTTCAGAGCAGAGGGCTGAGAACAAAGACCAACATCCTGAGAAGGCCTGCTCAACGATGGCACAAGAGCTCTACACCAAGTGTCAGACCAGCTTAAGCGTGCCACTTGATCTCCACATCAGTGAGGGATTGGGTTTACAGAGAGGGCTAAGGAAGATGGCATAGGATCCCTTTGTCTGAAGAAAATCCTACAGGGATACAAAGCCTGTGGCACATGCACAATTAAGTGGGGCTTGCGTGTAGCTGGGGGTTCCTGCTCTGGAAAAGAGTATTTGGGTTAAAGTTCTATCCCCACTGGCACCACTTGCTCAGTGCTCCTGGTCTTGTTCCTGGATTTAGAGGCATTTTGTGTGTGTGTGTGTGTGTGTGTGTGTGTGTGTGCTTAAAGAAAGATGCTAATTGAGTGGAGGGCAGATGTAAGGTGGTAGAGAACAAGTGAGTAGGCATGTAAAATGAACTGAAGGGAAACATACTGACTTCTACCCACAGACCATTGCCCTTATCAAATACTGCAGAACCAGCTTTGTTTTGTGGTCTTTACCTGGTATTGACCCATTTCTACTGGGCTCCCTGTTCTGAACAGTGTCCATCTCTCAGGACTATTATCTGAAGCAATTACTACTGTTCAGATGGGCTTCTTAGCCGCTATCTTGCTTTGGAATCCATCATTTTGGCAGCCAAAGGGTTCTGTGGTCAATTCATCAAGCCCCACATGGCATTACAGGAAGCCTGGTAGTCTCAGACTCAGACTCAGACTACTGTTCTCTCTTCATCCAGGCTCTCTGAGCATCATGGCAGCATCCTGCCCTCCTCACATCTCACCCCATCCCTTTTCTGTCTGTCTCCCCATCTAGTCCACTGCATTCAGCTCCAGGTTAGTCTGTCTGCCTCTGCCCCACTGCATGAAGAGCTCATGTGAAGTGTTTGTTTTGCATCTCTGACTTGGGTGGTAAGCTTATATAACCTGTGCAATTGAAAAGCATTTTTGTTAGCAAGACCTCAACACCTGAACTGGTCAGGCTGTGTTCCAGTGCTAAGAAGAGCAGGAACCACGCGGCCCAAGCAACCACATACACCCTACAGACCAAGTCTAAAGTAGGGTTGGGGTCCCTGGACACTGGGATGTGGAATAATGAGCTAATTCAAATCTACATCCAAACACAAGGAATCTGAAGAGTTGGCCAAAGAGCAAGGTCATTTGTGGAAAAGGCTATCTTGGAGCAGTTGGAGGGGTCAACAGGGACTCAACCAGGTCCTAGAAACTTTCAGGGTAATTTGATATAAGAACCTGTATTCACAGTGCCCACCAAGCTGCAGTTCCTGAACCTCCCTTTCTCTGGGAAAGTTCCACAGCAGAGTGACAGACTTTTAACCTCGCATTACAGACCAGACTCAGAAATGCGAAGGGGTCAGCCAGACGGGGCAGTACCACAGGCCAGTCCTTCCCAAAGGCCTCTTCTTATCCAGACAAGCCAAGGAGCACACAGGACTCAGCTCTGGTGCCCCTCAGTGCACTACCACATAAAGGAAAGGCCGGGGAAAACCTAGCTAACCAGACGTAGCGCCGGCTCATTCCACTGTGTCTGTACGAGTCACCCGTCAGGGTCACCATGCCACGCTACCGCGGGACGACACGCCAGCGCGGGTGGGGCGCGGGAGCGGGCGCGGGGCGGGGCACTGCGGGCGAGCAGGCGCTGGGGCTCGAGGAAGTCCCGGCCCCTCTCTTTGGGGAAGTACCGCGGAGGCGCCTGCGCACTGCGCCTGCGCCCCCTCCCCGGCGACCAGCAGGACTTCGGAGCGCGCGGGTGGTGTGACTCGGGGACTCGGCGGTGAGTGCGGTGCTGGACCGCGGACGGGCACCGGCGATGTAGATGCCGGCTCTGTTCTCGGACTTCAGTGACCGGTCCACGTGGACCTTGGTCGCGGTGGGACGGGAGCCCACTCCCTGCGCGTGGGGGAGGGAAAGCCGCAACAAGGTTCCCCTTTTTCTTCAGTGCAGAGCTTTGAGAAGTAATTGCTAAAGGTGGGGGCCGGAAGAACCCAGGTTTCCGTGTCTCCCGCCCGCTAGCCTAGTGGGGAGGGGCCAGACAAGACACCAGATCCACCACCTTACCCACCCTTGGAGTTGGGTCCTCTTGCCACTCGGGCCCGGAGAGCCTTAGGGGTGAATGTTGCGCCCCC